CCCGGCGCGGCCGCGCTCCGGTGGCCACTGCCGGGTTTCCGTGCCGGCTCGTAGAGGCCGCCCGGGGTTTAGCGGGGCAGGGAAAGGTTCGGAGAGTCCCTTGGGGTAGGGGAGGGGCGGGCTTTCTGTCAGGGAATGGCGCCGCGTCCTCTTGGAGGCCGCTTCTCCCCGGTCAGCTGAGGCTGAGCGGCCACTCTCCCGCCCCAGCCGGGCCCACCGGAGCCAGGGTTTGGTACCGGCCCTTGCTCCTGGACTGTGACCCTGCAGCCCTGCTCAGGTGGCCGTGCCCGCGGTGGCCACCAACGACAAGGCAGTGCTGGCCATCACCTGGACGCTGTGGCTTGGGGATGTGTGCTTGGCATCGGGGGTACGAGAGCAGCGCCCTTACTTGCACCCTCCCAGTCCTGAGTAATGGCTTTAAGCCGGAGGGGAGCAGGTTTAGACTGGAGATCAGGAGAAAGTTCTTCACTGTGAGGGTGGTGGAGCACTGGAACAGGTTGCCCAGGGAAGTTGGTGAGCCCCCATCCCTGGAGATGGACTAGATGATCTCTAGAGGTCCCTTCCAACTCTGACAAATCTGTGAAACCCTTACGTGTGGGCCTGCGTGGGATGTCCATGCGGAAAACACACCGTGGCCGTGGTCCAGTGGCGATGGAAGACGTTGGGAAACCAAACTCCAAACTCTTGTCATCACTCCACTGACTCGTGACTTCCTCCTGGCACAGCCCTGCTGCTGGTGCTGCTGCTGTGCCCTCCTCTCCTCCCCTGGGATGGTGAACGTTTCACCCACGGGACCTCAGAAATCCGTGTTGCACCACCTGCTTAAGGACAAGCGGCACTTGACACTACTTCAAATTACTGCGCTGACACATCCAACTATTTTATTGGTCTAGAAAACTTTTTTTTTTCCTAGAAGATGCGTCAGGAGTTGATTATAGCTGCTGATTATTTTCCTTTTTTCCTGCTCCTCTGTTCTGTTTCTGCTAGATCATAGCTCAATGGCAGTACGGCTAAAACACCCGTGCTAAAACAGTCTGGCACGGGTTTATTACCTAAACACAGCTTCACTGGTACAGATTTGAGGGCACCTTTTCTGATCTTTTATTACGTATTTTACTTCGTGGATATATTCTAGCCAGGGTTAGTTTAGGACCGGGCTGAGCTTTGGAAGTGGGCGGTGTAGAAATCAAGTACAGACGTGTTGAGGCAATTGGGAATTTCACTTCCCGTTTGGTGTAATAATAGCTTCCACTTGCTGTACCATCACCGAGCAGGCATTTCATGCAGGAACGCTCGGAATACACGGAGTCAAGTAAAGATGTAAGCTGTGCAGACCTTCGCTTCTGGGAAAAAAAGCCATCCAGTGTCTGACAGATAAGAAGATTTATACCTTGGGCATTTAAAATCAATTTCAGATACCTTTTCTTTTTCCACAACCGTTGTGTGAAGGCCACTGAGAAGGATGGGAAGCTGTACTGGATGAGCACAAGCTGGTTGCTGCTTCTGGGGACTGGCTTCCTTGGCATCAGAGGACACCTCTTTCTGAGAACTGCCTTTCCCAGAGGCAGCTCCTCCCCTCTGACCACAGCTGCTGGTTTCTGAGTCCATTTCTAATCCCACCTCATCCAGGCACAGGCCTTGCCCAGCCACAGGTTTTCCGTGGCAGGTAGGAGAGACAACACTCTGTAGCATTGGGTAAGCAGCACGTGACAGAGGTCCCTCTGCTCAGCAACCTGAACCTTAAGTCACACTCGTGTCCCTTGTGCAGCCGCTCGCGCATTTTATCCTCTTTTCCTCCAATTTGCTCAATTATCAGTGTGTGCACAAGCCCCGGCCATTGCAGTGTGATGTGTTTGCTTCAAGCTGCGCATCCTGGGTGACAGTTCAGCATTTTTGAGCAGTGGCTCCTCTCGCTACACCACCACTGGTGTCCTGTGCCCACTTTGTGAGCCCCTTAACAGGCTACAGGCATGTTCCCACGCTTCCTGCTGCTTCAGCTGCAAAGGTTCCATGATTTTTGGTCGGAGCTGGGGAGCACTGCCTTAGCCCGCAGGAAAGGCCTCACCTGATCTGATGGGCAAGCCCTCTGCTTGTGGGAACACTGTGAACCTCGCTAGCCTGTTTTTCCTTCAGCTCACGATGCTGCACCCCGATTATGTCAGCTGTGCTGCTGCTCTTGCATACGGTTACTTCGGGCGGTGTTTCCTTTGCTGGCTCAGCAGGAGCTGCCGTGGCTGAACGTGCCTTTACAAGGTAAGACGCAGGTCTCCACTGGCGTGAGATGGAGATTCTGCCTGGGCTGCTTCAGCCCAGTGGCTCACGGCACTTCTGAAAGCAGAGCGGGAGCCCTGGCGCAGGAGGAAGTCCATCAAGCCACCGGCATTGCTGTGGCCGGCAATCCCAGGGGAGCTGGTGTCCTCAGAGGTGGCCGCTGGCCAGGACTGTGCCCGTGATCCCACTGGAGGCTGTGGTGTCACCGCAGGAGCGTGCGTGGCTGCAGATTGTGCTCTGATCTCTATTTGCAGAGGGCTGTGGTAATTGAATGCCCCATTAATTAGCAATTGCAAGATGGGTCGCTGGTGTCTGCTAAGTGGCCTAGTGAAACATAAATCCAGTTCTTAACAGTTGTTTTTAATACTTTGTTTATCTTCTTCTTTAAATGTCACTGTTGACGTGGGATTGCTCTAAGGTCAATGGCAGATGCCAGTGGTGAAGAGAGGGCTTGGCAGCTGATTCATGGATTTCTTCAGCCTTTCAGCTCTGCTTAAACTGCCTTTTAAAAAAATATTTTTTATTTATTTTTTTTTATGAAAATTGAGCCTCACTGAGTAGCTACCAGCCACAGCATGGTATATCTGAGGTCATTTTATTGTGTAGAGTGTCAGAAAGGTTCCTTATGCACATGACACTGCTCCCAGGCACAGGTGTTTCCAGGATGGGGCAGGAGCAGGGAGAGGAGCTAGATGTACTTCTCCTTCCATTTCTTCTCTCCTTCCCTTCCTCTCTCTTCTTCCCCGCTTTTTCTTGACGAGTTACTCCAACAGAAGGTTTCTGAGGAACCGATGGCAGTGATGGTGACACCAGCCCGAGTGGCTCCAGTGCTGTCACCGATCTCAGGTGTGTGGCAAATGGAGACCCGGTGGGACATTTGAGCAGCCCCTGAGCAGGGTGCCGGGGGGCACTGGGCCGCTCCCCGCAGGGTGTCTGTCTGTCCCTGTCTCAACAGGTTCTTGAGAACTTGCCACAGCAAAGGACTCGCCACCACCGCCATTACCCGAAACAACCCTACCATTAAAAGCCTTGCTCAAGCATCCAACCTAAACCGGAGTTTGCTTCCATCCAAGCCCAGCAGCTCTTGCTCTGGCGAAACGCAGGTTTCTGTGGAGAGCATCCCTCGGGCGAGCGCCAGGGCCGGTGGGACCGGACCCACAGCTCCGCTCGCCGCCAGGCCGGGACAATTGGCGCCGCAAACAGGCAAACACAGGCGTTGCTGCCCGGACCTGCAAGCCGGGCGGTGGCCACGCAAGCCGGGAGCCTGCCGGTGCGAGGGGCGACGGGGAACCGAGCCGGGGGTGGAAGCTGTAAGGGGCCGGCCCGGAACGTGCGGCGGCCGGCGGCGAGGCGCCTCAGGGGCGGGCGGGCGGGAAAGCGGGGCGGGCGGGAGCAGCGGGCAGGGGCACTGCCACGGAGATATGGCGCCCTCTGGCGGCCGCCCGCCGTCAGCGCCCCTCGGGGGTCCGGCGCTCCGCAGCGGGAGACACTTCTCTCTCCACCCCCAATGCTTCATTTTTCTATTCTAACGCGATTTTCGGAGAGACCGCCCGTTTCAGAGTGAGGATGAGAAGAAGAGAGGCAGGTAGAACGGCTCGCAGGGAGAATGACTCGCAGCGTCCGCAGATTTACTGAACCAACGTCCCTGGAAGAGAGACAGATTTATGTCATTTCAGTCTTGCTGCATTTTTGTCATCATTCAGAAAAAGCATCCTCGGGCCACCTCTGATAGACTTCATTTCCTAAGGTGGAGAGCATGGAGTATATTTATGTTGCAAAATGGCATCATCTAAACTGCCTGCAATGTGCTGAGAAGGAATTTAAAAACTCTGGTTCTGCTGCGACCAGAAGTGTCACGGCCTGTCTGCTATTCACGCAGAGATGGCCGGGGCAGGGCAGAGATTACAGACTGCCACCTCCAAAGATTGTTGGTGTATCTGCTTTTAGAGGCTACAACCCCCACCAGAGCTGGGAAGACCTCGGCGTTATTCCCTCAGCGCTGCTGTGGTGACTGGGAGCTGCTGGGCTCGGTGAGAGCTGGCTCCCACAAAGCTCATTTGGTAAATCGGAAGAACCAAGCCACACACTGGACTGACCGGGCTGCCTCCTAACTTTACAATTTAATCTTGAAATTTGCAGGGTGCTTGGGGTCTGCCCATCAGGAGTGGCTGCTGTGAGGGAAAGGCCATCTCTGTGGGCACTGCTTTGGTGTAGGAGGCACGTGGGGCGAGCGTCGGGGCATTGCTCTGACACTGGGACATGAGAGACACGCTCTAGGTTTTCCTCCTCCTCCAGGGAGAAGGATCATCTGGGAGCTGAATCAGAGCTTGGGCTTCTCTACAGGAAAGGCTGGAAAAGAAGGTAAACCAGAGACGTGCCCCTGTGAGGGAGCCAAGGGTTGCACAAGTTAATCCTTCTGTTCACTGGAGGAAAACAGAAGTCCCACTGCAGAGGCTAACACCTGAAGGCTTTGGAAGACAAGGAGAGTCAGTGGAGCTATTATATATGGTCTTCTTCCTACAGAG